TTAGATTTTTAAAGCATTGGGTAATGGCATATGTGGCATATGTATCTGTTCTAACAAGGAATTTGGAAGACTTTTCTTCAAGGATTAGGGACTTTGCAGTATATTATTGGGATCTATGGGAAGAGCAGCAAATCAGGTTCTAGTTATAACACTTTCCAGCTATGCACTTGCATCGTTTGACTTTTAAGGTTTCTGATTTTCTTAGATACATAGTGGAGATATAGCCCCCATGCTACCCTATCGACCCCACAGCTAGGTAAAGACCCAATGAGATGTGATGTGAAATATGTTTCTGTTTCCACGCGCTCAGCTGTGCCATAAAAATCTTTGTCAGATAGGACTATTGTAGTTTAATATATGGGAATGTGCTTGAGGATATGGTTCCAGAAGGAAGAACCTGTAAAACCCTGGGATAAGTTACTGAATGGAGTTATGGAATCATATTTTGAAGTCACTAAAACCAGAAAAGTGCATTCTTGGTCAGATGGCGTAAGTACATTTTCAGGCACAGAAGAGGACTGTATTATCTCTGATCACTCCTATTAGGAAAATGGATGAGTGTGCCCTCTTTTGGCCAACTGACATTTGCAGAAAGAGTGAGGAGGCCAGAACTCCAGGGCTCAGTCTTGCACTTGAAACTTAGAACAAAACCCAGGCCGGGATGGTAAGGGTGAGAGGCATTGTGTTTTTTCCACTTGTGTAGAATAAGGGCCGGCTTGTTGGGGTATCTGTCCCGCCCAGTACCCCACAGCCGGCAAGCCACAAAGTAAAATCACATGGAGTCTACATTAGGTTACAAACTGATTGGCCCATTAGGTCAGGCTACTTATTAGCTCTTACAACTTTTGTTACCCCATTATCCTTATCTACGTTAGCCACAGGGCTCAGTACATTTCTCAGCTGGGCAGGTTACATCCTGTCTCTTCGGTGGTCTGCGCAGGAGTGGCGGAGGGAGCTTCCTGTTTCCCCAGAATACTCCTGTCTCTTTACTCCACCTCTACTTCCTGTCTGGCTTTCCTGCCTGTACTGCCTGCCTGGCCAATCAGCGTTTTATTAAAATATGATTGACAGAATACAGATAATTCTACCGTACCACACTTGTTATGTAAATGAGTCATATAGGAAGATTTGAAAGTCTGTTCTAGTTTTGGTGAATTCGTGGTGGACATATGATAAGAAGTGTTCAATATCTAGAGAATGTATTCGCCTTTGCATCTTTCTCAAAGTCATGACGGAAAGTTCGTTTGAGTTATGTGATGAACTATGTCACTACTACTTCCTTCCAGTTTTTGCAGGACCTGCAGCCATCTTCTCTCTCACCTTCCAGAAGTCACTAGTAATGACCAGGATTCACCATGCATTCCTTCCTGGATCCAGGAATTCCCCTAGCAAGACTGTACAGCCAGAATTTATACAACACATACTATAAACTGGGAACCATTCTAAACACATTCATGAAATAACTCATGCAATCTTCCTGCTATTCTTATTCTACAGATAAGGAAATTAAGGCAAATGTAGCTTAGGAATGTTCCACTTAGTAAAGTTAGGATGAAAATATTAGTCTACTTGTCATAATATACAACCCTTTTAGTCACTACCATCATTTTGTTGTCTCTCCTAAAGAGACTATTTTTTCCCATCAAACCCCTCCAACTTTTCTTTTTCCCTCTCATGAAACTGAACCTCTTTTTCCTATCCCCCTCAGCTCTGTTTTATCCCTCGTTTCTGTTATCACCCTCATTTTCAGCCTTTTCTTCTGCACTTAGTACTATTTGAGGATCCAAGCTCTTTCTGGAAGTATTACATCTTTTTTTTTTCTGGGCTCTCTGGAGTACTCTTATAGCAGCTAAGCTTCAGAGACAAGCCTGTTTATGTCCCCCTAAGTCAAGATAAGGTGGCTGACCCCATGGATAGATAGCGTTTTGAAAAGCTATGTGTCTGTCTATGAAAAGAACTAAGACATTTTCAAGTTATTTTTCTGAAGGGTAAGTAAGTCTTTCAGCAATGAACAAATCAAAAAGAGGAGGAAAGAAAGTAAAAAGAACTTGCTTTAAATTAACTACAAGGGCATTCTGCTCTCCCTTATTTTAGTTTCTGTTTTGAATTTTTTATATATTTTTCAAACAGGGGCCGTGTTTAGCCCTTCAGCTACACACCGCTTTCCCTTATTCTTAATAAATTAAAGATGGTGCATGGACATTTCAAATGTCGGACCCTGTAACAGGTGTATGCCTTATTGCATGTAGTTTTTGTAAATTTCTAACTTTCAAAGATAGGTGTAAGTGGCAGAGGACAGTAACGGGATGTCCAGGAAGAGTTCCAGTAAGGGCCCAGCATCGATCAATTATGTAGCAGAGACCAGGGGCCTTGAACCAGACCAATGAGTCTTTGTGATGAACACCCACACGTAAAAATGTATGGACAAAGAGGTTTACCACATGACTCATTGTGTGTCACACTGGAACTTCCATGACGATATTTTCCCCTTCTTTCTCCCACCTTTTCTCTTAAATTTAATTTAATTTAATTTTTTTTGGTGGGGGGAAAGCTCTGTGGGATTGGGAGGCATGATGTGAAAGACACAAAGAATAAATAAAAAAAGTGTAAAAAGCAGGTGTAGGGATAAATCCTGTTGATTATTTTTACTGTATCTCCCCAGAGATCCTCCTAGTATATAAAAATTATGGGATAGGTCTTCCTGATGTTTCCCTGGAGGTGAAGAGAGCAAAGAGAAGTTATATACGTCTAGAAGTGGCTTTTAAAAATAATATTTTCTTAGTAATTCTTTGAGAATCTCATACAATGTATTTTGAATGTGTTTACTCTCTCGACTGCTTCTTTTACCACATTCAAAAGCCTCTTATCCTTTCCCACCCACTTTGGAGATTATTTATTTACTTTCCTTGTTTCCCCACCGAGTGCAGTTTGTATTGCACAAAACCTGCACGGTCTTCAGATAAAGCTCCCAGCATGGAGGGCAGGGAGGTGTAATCCCAACACCAGCTGAGGAACCATTAACAGAAGTGTTGTTTGTTTAGGCATTGAAATTAAATGCTTGTGTCCAAATGGCACTGCAATGCTGCAGAAGGGAGCACAAAAAAAAAATCCTACTTGCGAATACGGAACTGGAACCTGTACTCAGCAAAGGCACATTTTAATCACTGCCCTAAAACTACCTCGGTTCCCCTTGGATATAAAGTAATTTACCTTGCCTGATGCAGGGAAGCTTATCGACTATAAACACTGGCCCAGTGGATTTGGATTCTTTTGCTCCTTTTCTGTCCCACCGCTAGATGCTTATTGCCAGATTTCCAGTTGGAACTAGTGTCAAATAACAGGCTACGAACTCAGAAGAAGATGGTGGCTTTTCACTAGTCATGCTGACAAAAAGTAAGACAGAAAGATTCAAGTTATGAGTTAGCATCACTTTTATTCTAGCTCTCTCAGCTACTTATGAGAGGCAGATTATGTCACATTGCATCAATTAAAAACTGGCAATCAGGACCTCCTGCCTTTCCATTGACATGAAGTATCTACACCAGGCAAAGAGAGCCCTCTCCAAATATTATGCTTCATTTCTTTAGTATTAATGACAGGCTGGTCAAACAACACTGGAAACACTCATCTTTGTCCTAAATTTCATCTAAATGGCATGAGGTGATTGACATATAATATATTTTTATACTTCTGGTTTCTTTTACATGTACTCTGGTAGATGTTCACACTCTAATTTGGATATGTACTTAGCAGTAAAACTACAGGTTCATGCGGTAGAGGTAGACTTAGCTTTAGTAGATGCTGTCCAGCAGTTTTCAAAAGTAGTTGTACAAGCCAGCTCTTTTGCCTGCAATGTATGTGAGTTCCAGTAGCTCCGTTGTTCTGTTTCTTATTATCAGTCCTTTCAAATGTCCCACTTCTGGTGGGGTCTGATATATATCATTGTGGAGTGAATTTGCATTTCTTTTATGAGTAATAGTGACAAATAATTGTGTATTTGTAGTTCATGTAGATAGTCTATTCTATGAAATAGTAGTTAATTTCTTTTTCTTGCCTTGACATTTGCATTGTCTTGTTCTTATTGATTTGTAGGGGTTCAAAATATGTGCACAGAGTAAGTAGGTATAAACCTTCTATTGAGAATATTTTCTGAATATTTTCCTACTTTATTATTGACCATTTTACCATCTTAAGGTATCTTTTGATAGATAAAAGCTCTTATTTTAAGGAAAAGAATAATTAGCTAATTTTGAAGGTATGTGGCAAATCTTTGCTTTCCTAAGATCATGAAGGTTTTCTCTTATGGTCTGAGTGACATACTTGTTTTATATTTCAGATTTAAGTCTACCATCCATTTCAAATTAGTATTTGATGTATGAGCATGGTCATGATTCCATTGGTCTGTCTACCTGTATACCAGTACTATGTGGCCTTAATGACTGTAGCTATACATTTAGCCTTGTTACTTTAAAATGTTCGCTTATGTTAATGTGCAATATTGCATAAATTCACGGTATATGCATAGTGTTTCTGTGTGTGCATACAACATGCACTAATAGAATCAGGGTAATTAACATGTCCTTTATTTATGATTGGCATCTTTGAGGTCCTTTCTCTAGTTACTCAGAAAGTATAGTTTGTTATTGTGAACCTACTGTGTCATGGAAATACAGAATATAATCATTATATTTAACTTGTTTTTGTACCCATTATCTAACCTTTCTTTATCCTCCTTTCCTGTAGACCTTACCAGTTTCTAGTAATCAGTATTCTGCCTTCAAATGGACAAATTGTAACTTCCACATATGAGAGAGAATGTGAAATGTTTGTCTCTCTGTGCCTCAGGCTTGATATCTGATAGTATAAATCCTCCCTTATGAGGCATGGCTCTTTATATATGCTTATATGTTTTAGAAGAGTTTTGCCAAAGTGTCCTTCAAGAGTAGTATTGGTCTTATTGATCCATTGCCCTCTTCTATGTCCCTCCAACTTCAAAATCTAGGTGCCTTTTTGAAGAGGAGACCAGCAGTCTTTTTGTGGTAATACCCATCCTCATCGTGAGAGCTTCCTACCCAGGGACCAGCCTAGAACTCAGTTAATTTCAGGTAAGAAAAACTACCCCTGCATACCTCAAAAAACTAGCCTTGCAGCCCTCAAAATTCCATTCAGTTCATTATGCTGATCTCCTGCAATTGCCAACAGTTTTGCTGGCATTTCTCACTCCCTGGTAGAGACCTTCTACCTTTGGACTAACTTTATCTTCCACCTGTGCCCAGAATTAGCAAATACCACAAAAAATGCCACTACCATCAGATCACATTAAGAAGGTCTCTGCATTTTTCTTGCTTCCAGCCCTTTCTGATAACCTTAGATCTACTGATTTGGGAATTGATCTTTGTTTTTCTTTTATCTGTGTGTATGTGTTATTTTATTTTATTTTATTTATTTTTTTGGTTGTTACAGGAGCATCTGCGATCTATTTGAAAGCAGAACTCCAGCAACCATTTTCTAGGCACAGCTGTAAGCCTTTGGTCCATCTTGGTTCTATTAGAGGTGAGTAACTTTCCACAGTTTAAATAAATTCAGCACATCAGAGGGGGAGGATTGAATGGGCACATCTCTGAATCGCCATGAAACAATTGATAATGACATGGACCCCATAGGGGACGGATCCACGTCTCTCCATCAGTTTGTGTTAGACACATTCAATTCAGAATGTAGCCAGTTTCAAGGGATAACAACCGTAAGGAACGTTCTCATTCTATTTCTGTGAGGAGAATGAGATGTCAGCTATGGACCCATTAAAGCAAACATGTTAGTATACATACGCAAATGTGTTCCCTTTGACATAGATCTTTGGAAGTAATTTCCGAGCTGCACCATGTGACTGACTATAAATAACACAATTAAAACCTATGATTGTCAATTTTCCCAATCATAACTTCATATAGTTATTTTATTGTAACTATTAGACACTAAAAGGTAAAATTAGGTTTCCTGGTGCTTTATATGTTATAGGCCTTCCACAACTTTGAGAATTTATTACAATATTATGGGTATGCCATCTCATCTAACATATGCTTTGCAGGTAGGGGATTGATTATGTTTGGTTACTTTCAGAGGGGTGATATACAGTAAAAGCACAATAGTAAACAATGAGATCCAGCAATTTCATATTATTATATAAGCTAAAACTCTGTAAAACTATTAATACCACTCTAGATAGTTCACTTATGATTCTCTTAATTACTTCTCATTTCCCTAGATAGTTATTCTTTTTTTGCACCATAGATTTTCTAGCATTCTATGTGAATAATGGACAATATATACTCTTTTATCTCTAATTTTCACTAAATATAATATTTTATATTAATACTTATTTCTATTAGTAGTACACTTATTTCATATTTAGGATTAGTATCTTACTCTGTCAATATTCTACAGGTATTTAATCTTTGGCAATTGACACAATCCCCAAATATCATCAACAAGTTCTATAGCACCATTGGCCTCATGCCACAATTCGTCACCATCATAATCAAATTAAAATCCCCGTTTCTCATCTAAATGAATGGAGTAACCATTGTCAGCTCTACAGGATTCATTATCATCAAAACACCATTTGCTATAGCTTTTTAGTAATGTTTTATCTATTGAGAGGACTACCGAGATATGGAATCAGTGTCAGTTCCTCTAATAGTTAATAGACTTATTGGTTGCATAGCCTAACTAATAAGAACAAATGAAGAGATTTGCAATTTATTGCAAGTAATATCTGTCCCCAGGATGCAGGACAATTGAAAACTTTAATGAATTAATAACTAAAAACATCAAAGCATTTAACAGTTCAGATATAAACGGCAATGAGGCAAAGATGCTAACATACACAGTAAAAGGCTGAGTGATGGGGTGTCTTTTCTCAATGGAGATGTTCAGGAGAGATATGAAAACCACCTATGTTCATTTTATTCTGAAATCCCTGAGCAAAAATAAATATCATGAGAAATTCAAAGGAGATGGGAGGCAATAGATCCTCATTAGGTGTTCAAAAAGAAGAACAATAGCTAGAGATCTCCTTTAACTCTATGGACAATTCTTGTGTAGCTGTATCTTGTATCTATAACCTGAAGTATGGATAAAAGGTCAAGGATGCTGATCTTTGTACTTGTCTTTTTTCATTATTAGATCTGATTTTCTGTGTTGTCTTGGATGTGACAATCAGGTGGTGATTACAATAGTAATCCACTACTAGTTCAGACATTTTGTGAGAGATTAACCAACCTCGACAAAAAGTTCTGTAGTTCTACTATAGTCATTCTATACTTGATTATCACCATCATAATCACACCAACTGCCTCATTTCTTCTCCAGGCCAACAGAAGGGTCATTAATAGGCTCCACAAGATCCACTCTTAATCAAGAACTCATTTGCTTTCAGTAATACTTTATCTCTTGAGAAGAGGGTTGAGCCATGGAATCTGTGTCGATCCCTGCACTGGTTGCTGGACTTATTGATTGCGTAGCCCAGCTAATAAGAATAGCTGAGGAGCTGCTGCAGTTTGTCTCACAGGAACAAGCTCCTTCGGCACAGCAGAATGATACAGCAGAAGCAGCGGCTGCAGTTGCACCTCCTCCTGATGAAGATTCTCTACCGGATCTTGCTGATCTTTCTGACTTAGAGTCATTACTTTCCGTAAAAGAAGATGAAGACCTAATCCTTGATATGGATGAAACTATGATAGATATGACTGACATCTATGAGGATATACTCCCTGCAATAAAGGATGATACAGAAAGCGAATAAGATCCAACATATTAAAATCATTTTTCTCTTTCAAATATGTTCTGCTTTCTAAGCGTTAGCACTAAGTGTTTTTCTTCTAGGTATGCATGTTTTCATTATTAAAACCATGTAGAATAGGGAAGCTTTGATTTCATTTTGGCAAAACTATTTTTTTTCTAAGTTTTAATTCAAAAGACTGACTTTAGTTATGTAGTTCTTCCTTTCCTTGCATTATTAGGATTCTTCATATGACCGAATAATAGCAAGGGACAGAATCTACCAAAGAACAGAGTGAAGAACTGATGAACTTTACCACATAGAGATTCTGACTGTTACTATTCTGGGATTCATGGAAATTCTAAGGGCAATCAGGCCCATATTACAGTGAATATTTTCACATGGACAGCACAATGTTGTGACATTGCATGTTAAAAAGAGAGGTTTCTATGGCAGAGTTAAGGGAAGTAATTGTAGAAACATTTTTTTAGATATAGAAAGGTTTTTCAGATCTACTTGGACCAAACCTTTGCGAATTCTGGGGCCAAGATATTCCAGTGAACGACTGCTTCCACAAATGCTGATGCATGCTGCAGCTTTTTTTTTTTTTTTACAATCCTTTTCTCTGATGGAAAGTGAAGCTTGTACCAAAGACCAAAGAAAGAAGTTCTAGAAAGGCAAGACAAGGCCTGACAATGACTTTATCAACAGCAAGTCAAACGCTTATGTCATCAGCCTGGAGGTTATGGTCTACAAGGGAAAGGCAAACCTTCTTGTGTATAACTGAGTTTAAGACATATGGACAGAAAGTAGGATGGCTAAACCTTAACCTAGTAATATTTGTATTGAGGCACAATAATCTTGCACATGTCAGAAAGGTGAAATATGATAGCTGAAGAACCCTCATCCTGAAACAGAGATCAACTAAATAAATGTGCATGCAATTCTTTCACCTCCATGGACAGATAGTACGGTCTTCTTACCAATTTATGTAGAGTCTTAAAGCATGTCATTGTTAAAAAGTTAATATGGCATTTAATATAGATGATAATGCAGGCTGAACTAACTAATATGACAGATACATGACAAAAGTACAAACAAAATAAATGAAAATTATAGTAAAATGCAAATGCTGAAGTTAGTTACATATTATAGTAAGACTATTGCTATAATAACCTTTTATAAGCAAACCTAATCTTTTTTCCCAATAGAAAATGATTCTAGGCACATAGGTACAGCCAAAGAAGCAAATGGGTGATGCACTTAAAATAAACCTAAGCAGATTGGAGAAAGAAAGAAGAAATAGTTTATTTTTCCATGCCAGTTGGAAATGTTAATGAGTAGCAATAATTATAATTAGTGAAACAGTTAAGATTCTTTTCATATTCAATAAGAATATTTATCAATAATGATAACAATCAAAGAACTGTAGGACAGTTAGAAAACATAGCCTACACTTTAAGTAAGGGTTTTGAAACAACTAGGGGAAATATATATTACTGTGAGGGAAATTCTAACTGTAGGATATGGGGTATAATTTTCTGTCGAAATAAAACTCAAATCATAAATAACTGGACAAATTTAGGAAACATCTAGAGAGAGGCCACTAGTCAACTATTAATTCTATTTGGTGAGAGAGAGCGAACTTGATGCTGCTCAAACATGATAGGCACACTAAAGGGTAGACAGCAATCCAAGTAGAACTCTAGAATATAGGCTTTACAACCATTCCACAACTGATTAATAAGACTTCGTTAAAACTGGCAGTATTTTAGAGAGCATAAAATTAACTGAAGCAGGCCCTAACAAGAGAAGCCTGTAAGTCTACTCTAGACTTTGCAATAAAACAACACCTTAAACAAGACAGAACCATAACGGACACTGCAATTCTTAGACGTCAGAACAAGGAGATGGTGCAAGCTCATAATAAGTGGATCTGCTTAGCCTCTTAGTTACTTGTAACACCTGGAGAGATGGGAGTGTAATGGCACCTAAGAACTAACTGCAATTTCACTATCTGTTTTGATTGTATAATCATATGCATTTACGAACTGCTACACTGTAATTCTACTTCAAGAAATAGATTGTTGTATTAAGTATGGTTGCTATATGGAACAGGGTTAGAAGCAGAGGTAACGGTGATAAGGAGAAAGTTTAGTGCTACGAACACACTAAAGAACAAGAGCTAGTGGGGAAGGTATTTTCAGTAGAGAGAACATTTTAAATTGCTAAGAGTTACACAATTGTTTGAGATGGGGTTACTTCCTAAGTGAGTTAGTCTGTACCTAAGATATTGCTAGAAGTAGCGAGATGGTAGTTGATATAGATTAAGTAGAAAGTTAAACTAAAAAAAGAAATATTAATTATATGCTTATAAGACGTATCTGGTTGAGATGTTGAGTCTTTTCCAGGGGTGTGAGGTGAGTGGCTGGTGCATTATTCAGGTAGCCTTGTTTTGGATCTTCTTTAGGTTAATGCCAAAATCAGATTTTGTATTGCATAGAGAAATGGAGAGGGCGCAAGGCTATATATTTTGAGACAAATTTAGAGGTGTTTAAATCAAGAGAGAGAGGCTGGTAGATGGCACTGAAGTAGAAAGTATAAATCTTAATGCTTTAGCTAAACGAGGAAAGCTATATACCTGCATATATTCTATAAACTACATATCTGCATCCTTATATGTAATGATTTGTTCAAATTATTATGTTATAATTTCTTATGATCTTTACTGACTAATTTTCCAAATCTAATGATTGTTCTTAAGAGATTTTAACTAATAAACTTTGATTGAAAAACCAAAGGACTTGTAGTCACCTTAAATTACCTAGTAGTAAATTTCTAGGCTACCACACTGCCATGAAAAGACTCTGTTTAACAGAAGGGCATGTAATATAACGAATAAGAATGATGTTGTACCATGAGCCTGACTGTCTACTTCTGACTTGTCAGATGATCTCTAAGAAGTAAATGAACATGGTGCTTCATCTTTTGTAAAATGAAGATTACACGTTTCTGCTTACTTTTAATGGTTAAAAGAAACAAATGAAATAACACGGTTTTTAAAGGCTTTGGTGTATCTGTCAATGGACTAGAATATGTGAAATTGTGACATTTCCGAAGTCATTCCATACCAACAAATGTCAATATAAAAACACCTGAAGATTAAATTGACATGTAAAGACAGTCCAACAGTTTGCACCTGTTACTAAGAGACAAATGCTTCCTCATTCTACTGTTTAATGTAAAAATTCTAATTCAGAATTGGCTTTTGTTTAATTCTTTGGAGCATACTTTTTCACCAAATTAAATTCTTTTGAAGATCCTATTTTGAATCATAGTAGGAATAATTATGAGAAGACTGCAGTGAAAAAGCCCTTTAGGGAATAATGAATTAGCTTCCATTTTAGGCTAAGATTTTGTTTCTGAGGGCAATACTATGCCAGTTTCTTTTCTCTTTGCTGTTTCCAAATACATGACAGAAACATCTTAAGGGACAAAAGGTTTATATTGGCTCATAGTCCATGGTTTTAGAGGGTTGCAGTTAACCAGAATAAGGAAGACATGATGATGAGAGCAGCTGTGTCTATGGTGTTGGGTGCTCAGTTGCCCAGGGACCAGGAAGCAATGAGATGGGCAGATTGAGTGGTAAGTATAACCTCATAAGGCCTGCTCCTAGAGACCTACTACAAAAGCCCTGTTGCCTAAAGGCTCTACAACCTTTCAAATAATATCATGAGCTGGGGAGAAAACACTCAAAACATGATCCTGTACGGGAACATATCACCTTTAAGTCATAACACTCTGTCTCTGTTTCTCATAGGCTCACAGCTATTTGATAATGCAAAATGCATTAGCTCTATATGTCCCATATGCTTTAGCAATTTTAATTTTAACAAAACTTCAAGTTCAGAATCTGCTCTCATATTTAAGATAATCTTCTATGATCCAATATCAAATAAAATAAACAAAATACAGAGGTCCATACTTAAACACCGAGTCACCTACTGAACATTCCCTAAAAGGAGAAATGTGGATATACCAAGAGAAGATTGAAACTGCAGTTACAGGCATGCACCACCATGCCTGATTTACTGTGAAACAGTTTTTCCTTTTTTTAATATTCTCCCATTCTCATGTAGAAGTTGTTACTCTTTGAATACCTTTGTCCTGTGAGATTTTTGCTCAGTCTTTTACCAGCCTTCTTTGGGGTCTTAAGGTCATTAAGAAAGATATCTTTTTAAAATGTCTCCAAATTGTTTATGGACCCTGAATATGTGACTCTTGATTGAATTTGTTGCATTACATCACAGGATAGGACCCACTTAAACTAATAATTAGGCTGGGGAGATGGCTCCGGATGTAGGAGCACTTGCTGTGTAAATGTGAGGACCTGAGAGTGCAAATCCCACAAACCCATGTAAAGCACTGGGTATGGTTGTGCATACTGTAACTAAAGCGCCATGTGTAGATGGTGGGGTATGACAGGTAGAATGATTATTGGAGTTTCTTGGCCACCCGCCTAGTTTGAAGTTCAATGGGAGACCCTGTCTCAAAAGAAAAAGCAGACAGTGGTGCAGTAGGACACCCATAGTCCTTCTCTAACCCCTGGGCATGTGAATGAGTAACTATGCCTGTACACACATGTGTATGCATCATATATCACAGCTGGATACACACACACTAAGTTATGTGCACACTTAATAATACTAATATATAATAATAATAATAATTAGTGTGTAGAAGGGGAAAAGACAAAACACAAGGGACAAAAGTAGAAAAAAATATAAGGGCTAGGCTGAGAAGTTGTGGCACATGCCTTTAATCCCAGAACTCAAGAGGCAGGGCAGGAGGATGGCTATGAGTTCAAGGCTAGCCTGGTCTACTGAGTGAGTTCCAGGCCAAGTCAAGGCTACACAGAGAAACCGTATCTGGAGAAACCAAAACCCAAAATGAAACAACTCCCCGCCATCCCGTAAGCAGCTACTGAAACTAGTGGAACATGTCTGTAAACTCAGTCCTTTGGGAAAAAGATCATGTGTCCAAGAAGCTTCCTTCATGAGATCCTGTCCTAAACACCGCAAGTGAATTCTCAGATGTGCATGCGCGCACACACACACACACACATGCACACACACATACATACACACCACACTACCACCACCACTACCAACAACAACAAGAGCAACAAAACTAAGAGAAAAATGGATATAAGAATAATAAATAAAAAATTAATATTTCATTCTCTTCAGTTTATTAAGACACAAAAACTACATACATTTAAAGAAAAGTTTTAAAAGGGTTTGAATGATTTATGTGTATGTGTGCTTTGCCTGTATGTATGAATGTGTACCACATGTGTGCTTGGTGTCCACAGATCTCAGAAGAGATCACTGGATCTCCTGGAACTGGAACTATAGATGGTTGGGAGCCATCAAGAGGCACTGAGAACTAAATCTGGGTCCTCTGTAAGAGCAACAAGTGCTCTAAACAATGGAGCCATTTTTCTGGCCCCATTTCCAAGAAATTTAAGGGAATTTTTTATCATAAATATGCTAAATTCACTTTGTGCAGATAATCTTGTGAAGATAAAATTAGATTTTATTTTACTTACATTCAAACCAGAAACTAGCTATATTGTTTCATATCTTACATAAAGAAAGCTTTTAACTGTAAAATAATCAGTGATCAAGTATATTCATATTATAATATAAATTATGAAGATCATTATCTTTATAAATTTTGTCCCCAAATACACTAAAGTTAAACTTTTAAAACATCTTCAAACCAGGAGGATTGCTGTTTCTCCTCTCCTCAGTATTCTATACCCAGAAAACAGTCCTTGACAAACATTGGTTGAATGATAAAATGCCTTCCTTTCAAAGAATCAGGTGACTACTTTTTTGGTCAAAAAGAAACTACACAGAAGCTGCCTGTTTCACAGACCAATGGGTCTAATTGGAATCCCTAGCCACGCACACACGGATGAAGTCTTCAGTGGTAGAAAATTGCTGAGTGTTGCTTTGATCCTGTGGACACTGAAAGCTTTAAGCTTCCAGGAACCAAAGATGATCTCAGCTTACCTCTTTCTGGTGATATTTGATTGCCACCTTTAGCTTGGCCAGATCATGGTACTTCTGTGGGTCAAGTTCTTCACTGTGGTCATCTCGATGGTTGAGGATGATCTCTAGTTCCCGGGAGCTCCGGGCTTGGTCTAGCAGGTCCTTGGCAAAGAGCTTGCATTGCTGGGAGAGCTCCTCATACTCAGCCTTGAACTCATTTTCCACCTTGCTTAGCTCCTTGAGTTCCCAGCCCAGCCGGAAGGCAGTGAGGATGGGGTCCTCGCTTGATAAGGCAATCAGTGAGGGGCTTGCCAGAGCCTTGTAGATGTTCAGTCGGGACCTTGAATGGCGCAGGCTGTCTACCTCTGAGCTGGACACACACTCTACACAGTTGCAGCGGATTTGGTGGGGCCGTGGAATAGTGACCCTCTTTTGGACAAGCAATTTGATGATTTCATAGTTGTTGGTGTGGGCGGCCAACATGATGGGAGTGATGTCTGGTGTGAACTCAGAGAACTGGGTGTCCATCATCAGAGTGGGTACCTACATGCAAGAAATGAGAACCACAGAGAGGCAGGGTTATTGTTAGGAACACAAGGAGCTTCAATTGGTAATTCCGAAACTGAAATTTCTAGTCTCTTGTGACTTCTTACCCAAACGGGTAATGTTTGTGGGTTGCTGTTTGGCACTTTCCAAAACTCTTTACTTGCATTTACTTATGTATTATTCACAACACTTAGTTGGTAGGTATTCTTCCCATGCAAATAAGCTGTGAGAGACTGATGGACACACCTAAGATTATGTAGTTTTTAGTAGTAGAGACAAAATTCAACCCAGGTAGTGAAATTGTCAAAGTCAGCTCCTAAAATTAGGCTATCATGATATGTCCAGTTCTATATAAAAGAACAAGGAAAACAAAGAAGGAGATGATGTTTGTGGCCTTCTGGCTGAGTCGCACAGATCATAAAGTCCTAACGGTTTACGGTGTTACATGTTTAGCTTTAATTGAGCTGTTGAGACTGCTTAAATAATGACTTGAAAGACCAAAGACAAACAATCATTTTGAAGACCATGCAACTAAATAAAGCCATAATGGCAAAAGAAAAGACTCTTACAAATGGTATTGACTTTGTATGCATACAGTACTTTAGAGGACTAATTCAATTTCTTCTAAGTCCAGGAAGGTAGAAAGAATTAGATATTGTTAGGGAGAAGTAATATTGTAAATGAGTAATTCCATGCTTGGGGCAGCATTGCTAAAGACAAGGGGACATTTGATAAAACTCTTATGTCTAGAATGCGATGTTTGGTGGAAATGGTATCTATAGCCAAAGTTCATCATGCATTATGGAGCACACCTGGAGAAGTACATACACTCTGATAAATGAATTAGAGCAGTCTTCCAACTTGAAAATAAATCTTTGAGGACTTTGTTTTCAGGCCAATAAAGAAAGCAAGAAGATCTGGCATCACAGTTGAGTTAGTTGAGTTAGTTTGTCCAGCATGCACAAAGTCTTTGTTTCGGTTACGAGGACCATAGAAACTGGACAATGTTGTGAATACCTGTAATCTTAGCACCTTGGAGATGGAGGCAGGAGCATCAGAAGTTCAAGGACATCCTTTGCTATATCTATACAGTTCAACGACACTAGACATACAGGAGATTCTGTCTCAAAAATGAAAACAAAATGGAATCCCAGGGAGCTCACTAGACTCACATAAGAACCAGAAGATTGACGAGAACCGAGACAGTGAGGGAAAGGCTTTTGGAAGAAAAATCTGAGTGTGTGAAGCATGGGTAACATTCCAGTAGATGGGGGAAATACTGATCTGATTACATGTGAGAAAAAGAAGTACACAGTGTCAAAACTCACTTTCAATGGGGTGGAAGACAGTTGGGAGTCTCATTAAATAGAAAAATATTGTTTTAATCAACACTCTCTTTCTATTTTTTAAGGACAGCAACAATAACATTCTACAGTTACTGGTGACCTTACAAATGCATGAGATACTGGTTTTCATCATTTTTACCTCCTTTCTTTCTTTCCTTTTATTTTTTTTAAAAATTCACTTTGTTTAAGGGATTTCTAAAATAGGGAAGGGGCCATAAAACGGGGAGAGGGAGGGAGATTAAGGGAAGCAGACTGCAAAAAGCCCCGCTTTCCTCCCTGAGTAGCTGCACTGGCCTCTGAAGGCTGTCAGTTATCCATTGCTAGGATAGAGAAGTGAGTAAGCATTGGAAAACATTGGGAAAGAGAAGCTACAAACAAAACCAGGGGAAGTGAACAACTCAGCTCATAAAATAAATTGGACAGAGGAAAGAATAATCTCAAAAATTAACATAAGCCTACAGGCTTCGGAAGAAATAGGTCTGAGTGGGCCATGAACATAAACACAACTGCTGTAAGGCCATGGAGTGGGGAGAGATGGACAGTGAGCAGGTTGCCATCGTCTGCCCAGGAAGAAAAGAGCTCATATCTGGAAGATCTGTCCTTTCTCTAGGTAGGGCACATTTTCCAATCTTTGTCCTTATCTCAAATGTTTGGGAGAAGGTGGAGTGGGTGTCAACCTGTTGGACAGTTTTCTCCAGGTGAGGGTGGAGGTACGGTCTGCTTTCTAACATGCTGCTCAAATTGTCCTCTCAGCCACTCCTTCCTCGTTCTTTATACTTTTCTTCCTCCTTTCCTTTCTTTTCTTCTTTTCAGTGCTGGCAAGCCTGTCCAAGACCCATACAACTATCTAAGACTGTTGTTTAACCCTATGTGTGTCATGGAGCTGATAGGAAGACTATTCTTTTTTTTTCTTTTTTAGGTTCTTCTTCTTTTTAAAATGTTTATTTTTTAATATTTATTTATTATGTATACAATATTCTGTCTCCATGTATGCCTGCAAGCCAGAAGAGGGCACCAGACCTCATTATAGATGGTTGTGGGCCATCATGTGGTTGCTGGGAATTGAACTCAGGACCATTGGAAGAGCAGGCAATGCTCTTAACCGCTGAGCCATCTCTCCAGCCCCCAGGAAGACTATTCTTGAAATATATATATATATATAATTCACTGGAGCTACTTGATTCCCATAAAGGGACTTATGACTTTCAACTTGGTATTTTGGTTACTTGAGACCAGAGAGGAATTTTTTTCCCAAAGAGTGCAGTCTTCAGTGACCATGTCTTCCCTGTGACTGCCTATTCAAATACTATAGGCTCCAGACCACATCTGAGACAGCTCCTCTTCTGATTCCACCTTCCATTGTGCTCCAATGATCTCACAATGTGCTGCTTTGTAGCCTTGTGAGATCAGTGCTAACTGTCAACTGAATGGAACCTAGGATCAACTGGGAGATGGGTGCCTGGGAATGACAAAATAGTAAATCATCTAGTAAAAATGGACAAATTAGTTGAACAGACAGCTCTCAAATGAGCTACAAAAGAGCACTGCACAGCAGAAAAAAAATGGCATCATGAAAGACGATTACCATATGTACTCACTCATAAGGGGATTTTTAAACATAGAGCAAAGAAAACTAGCCTACAAATCACAACCCCAGAGAACCTAGACAACATTGAAGACCCTAAGAGAGACATACATGGATCTAATCTACATGGGATGTAGAAAAAGATAAGATCTCCTGAGTAAATTGGGAGCATGGGGACCATGGGAGAGGGTTAAAGGGGAGGGGAGAGGAGGGAAGAGGAGCAGAGAAAAATATAGAGCTCAATAAAATCAATAAAAAGGAGCACTGAGCAGAGGGCCCAGTGGTTAATACAACTTGTCATCAATCATGAAATCTAGAGTTCAATGAGCGAAAACAATCCCAACTGGGATTGTGGGGGAAGGGCCCAAAGAAATGAACTTGCATTTGTCCAAGATGTAGAAGTCGAGTTTGTAAACAAAAGAGTTCAAGCCTTAATTTGAGAAGAGGATATTTGAATTCCTTTTTGCTAAAGACTGCTGTGTGTCTAGTACTGTGCTCTGTGCTGTTGGGCAATAGAACAGACTAGGGAAGCTCCCCGTTTATGCAAAAGCTTCTTTCCTTATTGAAGAGTGTCTTAGTTTCTTTATTGTTGCAGTGACAAAATACCCTGACCAAAATGACTTGAGGAAGGAAGGATTGGTTGTACCCACCATCGCAGGGGAGCCAAAGCAGGAAGAGCCTGAAGCAGTTGACCACATCACGTCTTTAGTCAGAAGTCACCGTTAAATACATGCTAGTGCTCAGCACCATTTGTCTAAGCACATAGTCCAGGATCCCTGCCAGGGAATGACACCACCAAGAGTGGACATACCATCCCATTTTATTTCCATCTTTGAAAGTTTAGAGCTCTGAAGGTTCAGTTTCAATTATGGTGAATTTGGAGACTTGGTTGGAACAGCATCAGGAAATTATGGTTCTGCAGTAGGAGTCATGAAGGGAAGGTTAAGGTTGACCCTGTGGTTTTGAGACTCTTCAGTCAATAGTAATAATTGAAATCAAAGACTGGGAGAAATCAGCCTCTGTGAGCTTCTCCAGTCCCCCAAATCCAATGGTTTGCTCCAGTAACTCGGTCCAGCCCTACTTTTCAGAGCAGATAAGGAACGAGGGAGGGTAAGTATAAATTACCATTGTCAGCACCTTCACTCAAAATCCCAGCTGTTGGGGCTTTAATGAGGGCATCATCTTTATTTTCCTATGTGTCTGACTCGACATATCTTTCATTCCTGTGGCACAGTGTATAATAAAAACTTCACTCCAGAGCCATAGACTGATATTTTTGGTGAATACATCAGTTAAAAACCAAAAATGTGTCTGTGAAAGGAATGGGAGGAAGCTGCAACTTGATCACGTTGGCTGGGGGCAGGAACCAGGGAAGGTGAGACCTTCCAAATAAAGGGAAGTAGGGATTTGTGAAAAGTTCAAAGTGCCTGAGATGATGGGCAGATACGGTCCAGAGCAAACAAACCTTCATTAACCTGGATTTTCAACTTGACCAGACTAGAAAGTCTAGGAATTTAGTAAAGCACATCTTTGAATATCTATGATGGTGTTTCTAGAGCGACTAGGTCATGAAGGCTCTGAAATAATTAAAGAATTAATCCATTGATGGGGTGAGACCGAGTTTGAGGTAAGCAGGTGGGGAGAACATACCTTAAGGCCTCTATCTTGTTCTGTCCCCTTCCTATAAGCCCTTGCCCTGCTTCCTGGCAGACATGAAATGAGCAACTCTGTTCCACCACACTCCCTGGCCTTGAACTGAGTCTTTTGAAACTGTGAGTCCAAATAAATCCTGCCTCACTTACATTATTTGTTTCTTGTGTTTTGCAACATGGTTGAAAACATAACTAAAACAGCTGGGCATAGTATAAATGGACATATGTGTACTGCCTATATAGGAATATATGAAGATTTTAACAAATGTGGTCTCTAAAACTATTGGAACAGATACAAGTATATCAACAAAACACTCCCCAGAACAGTAATTTTTAAAAAGTAAAAACTATGATGACCACACCCTGATTTATGCCATGCAGTAGCTTTGAAGCAAGGTTTCACTTTGCAGCCCA